CCCTTCTTTTTTCCCCCCTTCCCTCTGTAAAAAAAAAAAAAAAAAAAATAAAAAAAAAAAAAAAAAAAAAGAAGTGAGGAGTGGGCAACAGTGTTGTATGCAGAACAATGAGATACACATTGGAGTGACCTCTGGTGTTGGCCGTAACCGAGAGCAGTAAGAGGAGTGATAAAAGTGGAGGATGTTTGTAGGCGTAGAGGTAAGAGCCTACAGCAAGAGAAAAGTTATAAAGAGTGGATGTGATGGATGGAGCGAGATTTGCAAGCGGGCAGGAAAAAAAGGAATCAAGAGTCTAGGTAGGGCCCTGGCCGACGTGGCTCAGTTGGTTGAGTGTTCCCATGCACCAAAGAATCACTGGTTCAGTGCCCAGTCAGGGCACATATCCAGGTTGTGGGTTTGCTCACTAGTCGGGATGTATGCAGGGAGGCAAACGATTGATGTTTCTCACATCGATGTGTCTCTCTCTCTCCCTCTCCCCCTCTCCCCCCTTCCTTTCTCCCCTTCTCCTCCCCTTCCCCTCTCCTCCCCCTTGCTCCCTTCCTTCTTCTCTCCCACCCTTCCTCTCTCCCTTCCTCTGTCTCTCTAAAATTAATAAAAAACATAAAAGAGTCTAGATAGGATGAGTGGATGAACAAAGAATGGCATGTTCATGGAGCATTATTCAGCCATAAAAAGGATGCTACAGCTGGGATGAGCTCCATAAACATTATGCTAAATGAAAGAAGCCAAATACAAAAGGTCACAATTGTGTGGTTCCTTTTATATGATGCATCCAAAATGGGCACATCCACAGAGACGGAAAGCAGATGGCTGGGTGGCTATCAGGAGATGGTGGGGGAGTGGGATGTTTTTCTGGGGTTAACAAGCTTTGAAACCAGAGAGAGGTGGTGGTGGCCTCACATTGTGAACACAGGAAATGCCACGTATTGTACACTTTGAAATGGTTTGTTATACGTTACGTGAATTTTACCTCAACTTTATAAAAGGAGTTTAGGTAGAGCAACTGAATTTGGAACCAGAGAGGAGACATCTCTAAGACCAAAGGTACAAAAATAAATGCAGATAGCAGTAACTTTTTAAGTGAGGTGTTGAGCTAAAAGGTTAAGATAATAGTTTAAGCCCCATGGCCTCTGTTTCTCAGGGAAGTTGGAAATGTGGTCCTCTGTTCAGAGTGAGGCGGGAGGTGAGAGCTGGGTGAGTCTATATAGAAAGTAGGAGGTTGGGCGGGGGGGAGAAATCTTTCTTAAAGTTTCTTAGTACGTATTTTTATTGATTTCAGAGAGGAAGAGAGAGGGGGAGAGAAACATCAATGATGAGAGAGAATCATTGATGGCTGCCTCCCTCATGCCCCACACTGGGGATCGAGCCTGCAACCCAGGCATGTGCCCTGACCGGGAATTGAACCATGACCTCCTGGTTCATAGCTTGGCGCTCAACCACTAAGCCATGCTGGCTGGAAACCTTCTTTAAGACAAGTAAAAGGATTGACATTAATGTTCAGTTGGGAGTCTTCTTCACACATAGCAAAGAGCCCTGGATGTCACCACTGTGTGTGTGTGTGTGTGTGTGTGTGTGTGAACTTCCAAGCCTTTTTTCTGTTTGTTGTATCCTTCTGAAGGATTCCCAGTCTTTGTTTCCCAAGTACCAATATCTGTTCCTACCAGTCAGACATGTTTTTCAGTCCTCTATCGCCTTTAAATTACACAAGCCCCACAGATCTGTGGGAAACCATTTCAAGCCTCTACCAAGCTATCTTCCTTCAGTTCTTTAAACATTCTGTTGATGAAATAACTCCCTTTTCTTTGCTATTTCGTGTTTATGTGCTCGGTGCTGGTATTTTTTGTTATGCTTGATGTTGGTGACAGTAGCGGCTGGTTCACAGGAATCAGTTTCTGTTGCCTTTCTCTAGCTCTGCCGCCATTTCCGAGGCTACTCTAAAGGCTCACAGGTAGAGAAGATGTGTAGGAAGCAGGTGATTAAGGGTGTTAATTACAAATGTTGACAATGGGATTTGGCCCTCCCTCCCCCACCCACCTCCACCTTTAAAAAAATTACAGCATTATTGAGGTATAATTCACATACCATAAAATTGACTACTTAAAGGTGTACAATTCAGGGCCCTTTCCATTTGCATCTGTTAGTGTACCTTTGGTTCTTTAAATTATTGCATCAAGGCTCTGAGGCTAAGCCCCTTAACACTGGAATGATTTTGAAAAGAAGCGTGACTTACCCTTTTGAATTATTTCACACTAGAGGCCCGGTGCACAACATTCGTGCACTCGGGGGTAGTGGGGTCCTCAGCCCAGCCTGTGCCCTTTCACAGTCTGGGAGCCCTTGGGGGAAGTCCAACTGACGGCTTAGGCTGCTGCGGAGGCAGGAGAGGCTCCCACCACCGCAGCCCAGCTTCTGGCTGAGCAGCGCTCCCCCTGTGGAAGCGCACTGACCACCAGGGGACAGCTCCTGCATTGAACATCTGCCTCCTGGTGGTCAGTGTGCATCATAGTGACTGGTCATTCTGTTGTTTGGTCGATTTGCATATTACCCTTTTATTATATAGGATCTCCTCAAGGAGTACAGGCTTTGTGACCTTCTAAACCAGCGGTTCTCAACCTGTGGGTCGAGACCCCTTTGGGGGTCGAACGACCCTTTCACAGAGGTCACCTAAGACCATCGGAAAACACATATATAATTATATATTGTTTTTGTGATTAATCACTATGCTTTAATTATGTTCAATTTGTAACAATGAAATTGGGGGTCACCACAACATGAGGAACTGTATTAAAGGGTTGCGGCATTAGGAAGGTTGAGAACCACTGTTCTAAACAATTGTGTTCTAGAAATGTATGCTCCTACTCTCCTAGTTTCCTTTTATACTTCGTAGGGTTTTTTTAGCCAAAAAGTCTAAATGAAAGGGGAAAGAGAAACTTACAGTTTGTTTTTCTGGATCTTTGTGTGTGATGATTTTGTTCAGTTTATAATGATATGAGTCCGCTCTGAAGAAAAACCTAATGATGATGATAGAAATACAGAAATGTGTCTGTATTCCATTGGCCCGCGTGCCCTCTCTTCGTCGGTAAATGAGGAGGCTCGACGTAGCTGAGTTCGGGCAGCTATTTAATTTGAACTGAGGATGTGGGGTGTCTGCCTCAGGTTCCAACACGTACGAAGAGGCAGCTGCTTACATCCAGTGCCAGTTTGAAGACCTGAACAGAAGGAAGGACACCAAGGAGATCTACACCCACTTCACCTGTGCCACCGACACCAAGAACGTGCAGTTTGTTTTTGACGCTGTCACGGATGTCATCATTAAGCACAACCTGAAGGAGTGTGGGCTTTACTGAAGCGAGCGGGCGTGAACCAAAGGTAAAACTTGGGGCAGTGGTTCCCAGCGCTGCGGCCATGTCTCTCGACTCAGTAAACGTTCTCTAATGGAGAATGTTCTTCTTTTCCAGTTATTACATGTGGAGTGTTGAGACCAGACCTCTCCTGCTGTCTCCTGGGCAGCAGCGAGCATGACCGGGACCAGGGATGGCGGCAGCATGCAGAACTCTAGCGCTCTTTAGCACAATCTTCTGTAGTAGGGACTCTTAATTGACACGAGATGCTCAAGTCAAACATGGAATTGGACAGCCGTAAAGTATGAATCAAGACATCACTTGGATTTCAAAATCTCAAATGTTAGAGCAGATGTGAAGTTGAGGTGCTGCATTCCAGAACTTCAATATGTAGCTTTTTTTTTCCTTGTTAACAGACCATCAGTAGTTTATTTTTTAAGGTTTTTTTTCCCCATCAAGAATACAAAATTTTGTTTCTTTGTTTGCAAAAGAATCTTTATTAAAACACACACAGTCTTAACTATGCACAAGATATGAGCAGATCATCTTGAAAATATTCCTCTTAGTAGGAACTCTTTGTTTTTTAACTCTTGGTATGGTCAGAATATAATATTTCTGTAATTGTGTAATTCTTCAGTTATTGGGACTATAATTACAGCTTTTTTGGATGAAACGTGTGTTACTATTCTGTTGAAAGTACCATAATGATTTCTAAATGGTAATTACAGTGGAGAGTTCTGTCTAGCTCTCTCTTTTTTTTTAAGCTTAGGTTGAGGGGTAACCGGGTTTATGCTGATTACCAAATTACTAAATAAATGCTTCTGTAGTATGATAAAGTCAACTTCTTGGATACAGACATACCCAGGGCAGCTGCCAATCAAATGCAAATTGCTAAATTTTATCTCTTTTTTTTTAAATTGCTAAATTTTAAACAGAACCAGTGACTTTGCTGCTACGTCCCTACTAAATTGACCGCTCTGATCCTTGATTGTCTGTCTCGGTCAAAGGGAGTTTTGTCAACGATGCCCCTTGTTTTTCATCTCCTATGGCCTTTTTTCTGTTGGGAAACATCTAAAGTGTATGAACAGTGCATGCTTTTACTTTGTAAATGTGGTGCCAAAGCCGTTTGCCATTGTTTTTATTGTAGCAATGTTAATTGTAATAATCCTTAGGACGTTCTTTTGCCGAAACCATTGCATTTGGGGACCTTTTTCCACGTTGTCATGTGTACAGATTTTAATCTGTTATAGTGGCAGCAGTATTAAAATGATGAGTAAAGAGTCCAGGTCTGTTCCTGTTTGTCACTAGTCCTTTCTGGAAGTATTTTCTTTTGTTTCTTTTTGCCCCTGCTGAGTGTGCTTTGGCCTTTGTCTGAGAGTGGGTTTAGGTAAGGAGGTTCCCTGAAGGCTAGTCTTTTGGTGTAATTGTGTTGTTGAATCCTGGCCAGCCTGAGGGGCTTATGTCCCATCTGTGTAAGTGACAGGCCGTCACAGTCCATTTCCCAGATTGACATTTTGGTCGTGTGGGGAGCTGTAGTTGCCTCTGCCTGCAGGTCCTTTTGTACAATGTACAGCAAATGTCATTAAATAGTGAACGGTCCATTGCGGAGGCAGATGAAGAGAATGCATTTTGAGCAGTCCATGTCACTGGTTTAAGCAGTGCCTTTTGGGGTCCAATCTTTTAGGATTGGATTCTGTTTCATCTTTTGATGTGATCTTTCACTAGTTTAAAAAGAAAAAAAAAAGTTTGGTGGTCATCGAAGCTGGCTCCAAAAGTAAGCCACAGTAGTTCAGTGCCTTTATTGGTAGTTTTTGTTGTTGTTTTTTTTCTTTCTTATTCTTTTTGGAAAAGTATTACTATGCAGATGGTGAACTGTGTTATCTAACAATTTTATTTCAGTGTTGTGAAAACGACCTAAAAGAAAGAAAATTATCAGCTTTAATTGGTGATTGACTTATGCCCACAATGTAAATAGGGATGATAGTTCTTGTTTGTTTTGAATATATCTTTTCCTTATTGTATTTTGTAAATAGAATCATCTGGAAATGAGAATTGCTCCAGTGTTATTTTAACTGTAGTGTTTCTATAGTCTGGGCTGATGGGATGGTGTTGTTGATAGCCCATAATAACAGATAACCCCAAAAAGTTCATTATACTTTGAAATGCATTTTGTATTTTCATTTGAGTATGTCTGTGTTCATTTTTAGTCCTTCTGTTAGTGAAAAGTAGTAGTTCTCCACTTTTCTGCCTCTCACACCATTTACACTTGTTCTGTGTTTACATGAAGATCAACCCCCACCCCTCCCCCATCCCAAATAACTTACCTGAATGTACATTCCTTGGCAGACACAGGGACACAGTTGAAGTCAGTGGTTTTCAAATATGCCTTAAGCCCAAATCACCTGGATCCATCTCAGAGATTGACTCCTGGCCAGCTGGCTAGCAATCCATAACTTTAAAAGGGTTATTCTGATCACCAGGCTCGCAGATCACTATTGTATGTTGAAATACAAGATTTTTTCTTATAGCTAGAATGTAGGGATGAAACATCCTATCTACTAGCCTGGAGAAAAGATTTGATATTTGTAATTAAAGAAACAAAAAGTTGCCTGTGTCTGGGGGTGAAGAATGCTGGAGAGTTGTGATGGATCATGTTTCAGAATTCAGGTGGCCAGGCTCTGGACCATCCAAGAAATCAGCACATCTAAGAAAATTAAATTGTAATAAATAAAGAACAGTATTTACTAGACCCCAGCCGGAAGGACTGCAGTAGTAGCTTCTTTTTGTTGACAGTCATATCTTTCTCGCCTGATTTAAACCTTAGACTCTATATAAAGAGGAAGCATTCTGCTTCCTGGCCAGTCTCCTCTACCTTATTAATTCAGCCTTGCAACAGATTTCACCTCCTGGCATGAAAATTCCGAAGACATTTACAGTTTTTTGTAAGTGGATCTTGAGATGCCATTTTTATTTTGGACAGTTAGATTTCTAAGTGTAGTTCAGTGTATCGTTTTATTATTTCCACTGATGGATTGTTCTTTTTCACAAAGTGCTGCATTCTAAGAATAGATGGACCACATTTTTAAAAACTGCTCTCTTGTCTTATTTATTTCTTCTTCTATCTATTGGTTTTATTACATGCGTATTTTAGAGTATTTAAAAATAATCACTGGTTCTTCCAATTCTTTTGCTCACCTTAATTGTGTACATCCTGGCCATGGTTCTCCTTTTGGTGGCTGTGACTCGCTGTGGACATTGTTTGCCTGTCCTGGCGAAGTACTCCGTCTGCTTATCTGTTTGCTTAGCACAGCTCTGGAGTTTCCTGTTGCGGAGCTCCTTGCTGTCCGGCAGTCACATAGATGCTAAAGTTAGTCTCATTCCAGTTAAACCCTGCCTTTGGTTGATTTTTCCCTTCCAAATGCTCAAAAAATCACAGTCCTCTACTCATTTATAAAACCTAAAACTGCACTTATTCCCTTCCCTCTTATCACTTGCGAAACCTTTTAGATGTGATACTGATGTGACTTAGTTTTTTTTTAATGTTTTTATTGACTTTTAGAAAGAAGGGAGAGGAAGAGAGATAGAAATATCGATGAGAGAAACATCATCGATCAGCTGCCTCTTGTACGCCCCCTACTGGGGATCAAGCTAACCCGGGCATGTGCCCTGACGGGAATCAAACTATGACCTCTTGGTTCCTGGGTCGATGTCCACCACTGAACCACACCGGCTGGGTGTGGTTCCGACTTTAACAACAAAGTTGTCTCAGTTTCCCAGTATTCTTCTCCAGGCTTCATAGTAAAATGAGAGATGTGACCTTGACCAGCCACAGCTCTCTGCGTGGCTTCGTGGCCATCCACACACAAGAGACAGCCAGCTGTTGATCTTGCTGTCTGTAGCTATTGGGAAGTAAAAGAAAGATTCGAGGCCCTGAAGAACTGCCTTCCAGGATGGTCAAGATCTTTGTTCG